GAAAGTGTATTTTCCCCCAGCCCTTCGGGTCTGTAAGGTGACTTTTCAGCCTTTGGGTAGACTTTTCAACTCTGGGCCACCTCTTTTAAGGGTTCAAGGCCTGATGGAGGATCTCATATATGAACCGTAACCAAAAAAAAAGGGGGGGACCCATTAATTGTCCCCAAGGGGTTAAGATGGGGAGGTCATGTGGAATGATCAGATGATGGGAAGCCATTGATGGAGTTATGCCAGGAATTTGAGTTTGGAAAAAAAAGAACCCTCTTCAATGGGAGAAGAAGAAGGCAGGTTGATGCCGCAGAGGAGACATGGAAGAAGCATCATCCATTACAAATAATTTTAAAAGCCAGCGTTGATTGGAAGCAGCTGATGAGAGGCAGCATCATGTCATAGTTAGAGCGCTAGACTGGGAGTTAGGTTGGATCTTGGATTTTGACTTTGAACGGCAAGACTCTGGACCGGTCATGCTTTCTCACCCTGCCTCGGAGAGGTGTTGTAAGGATAATGTCCCAACGAGGGTCTTCAGAAAATGTTGCATTTCTCCTGCGGGGCCCTGATCCTGTTTTGCTCTTAGTTTGTGGGACGGTTTTCCCATATTGAAATGCCTTATGCATTTCTGCACAATATCCGATGTCCACATTTTCTGGGTTTTCCCCTCGCGAATGCATTTTGTTTTGCCTTCAGTCAAATTTACACTTTCTCCCCGTTAAGCGAAGCATGCCTGCGTGGTTTTGTTTTCAAGGACACTTATTTCCACCTCCAGGTTTCAAAAAAAAATGTACATATCCTGCTGCCCTGCCCAACGGCTCCCGATCCTGAACGTCTGCAAAGATGCTGACTTTTGAGGAGAGGCGCTTTCTGTCTTTTGGGGAGTTTGCAGGAAAAACAAAGGGGGGGGGGGAGGAAAAAGCTAGCTTTCCCCAAATGGCCAAATCCAACAAAATTCTATTGTGCCCTTACTCTATGGATGTATGGTGTGGCATCAAGTCAATTCTGATTTATGGCTACCCTTTTTCCCCAGGGTTTTCTAGGTAGAGAGTACTCAGAAGTGATTTAAAGTTCCCTTCTTCCGGGGGAGCCCTGGGACTATGCAGCTTGCCCAGGGCTGCATAGGCTGGCTCTTCTCCCAGGAGGCCTGGGGGAGGGGAACTCAAACCCACCACCCAGCCTCTGGCTTAGCAACCAGATGCCTAAATCACTGGGCTATCCAGCCAGCTACAGAAGTAAGAGACCTGCCTCTTAAGGTGTAAAACACAGAGAGAGTTTTACAGGCATTTTGACCTACATTCTAATACAGTGGTGCCTCGCATTACGATTGCCCTGCATTACGACAAAAGTGCATTACAACGACGTTTTTGCGATCGCTTTTGCGATCGCAAAACGATGATCTAAATGGGCTTGTTTCACTTTGAGATGGTCTGTTCCCTGCTTCGGGAACTGATTCTTCGCAAAACAACGATTTTTCTACAGCTGATTGGCGGTTTCAAAATGGCCACCGGGTAAATAAAATGACTCCCTGCTGTTTTCTGGGACAGATTCCTCGCAAGACAGCCACTGAAAATGGCCGCCCTATGGAGGATCTTTGCTGGACGGTGAGTTTCCAGCCCATTGGAATGCATTGAATGGGTTTCAATGCATTTCAATGGGCTTTTTATTTCCACATTACGATGTTTTCGTTCTACAGCGATTTTGCTGGAACGAATTAACATCGCAATGTGAGGCACCACTGTACCTGCATGAAACTCCCAACCTCTGCCTTTGCACCCAGATCCTGAAACCACTGAGCTATCCAGCAGTTCTAAATAATCTTAGAACGTCAGGACTGGAAGGGACCTCGTGGGATCATCCAGTCCATCCCCTGTCAAGGAGGCCCAGTGGCGGAATCGAACTCCCCACCGCTGGCTCCACATCCAGAGGCCTAAAGCCGCTCAGCTCTCCAGCCAGCAAGAAAGAAAGACGGTCATGACTCTAGCGCCACCGATATGGTCTTCTATTGATGAAAAAACTGGTGCAGAATATTACCCATCTCGTTTTTTTAAAGGGACAACGAGCACAAAATACAATAGAGGTGCTTTTTTAAAAAAAAAGAAAAAAAGAAAAGTGTCCAGATGATATCATTATGAAAGATCTGCCGGTTTTCAGAAGTAACAGTCATAATGGTAATGAAACCTTCTGGCGGATAGGAAGTCATTTTTCCCCGATTGTGCAGGTCACAGTGATACATGCACTTTGTCCCAGTTTCCATTCGCTTGGCAGTCAATTTACAATTCTATTAGTCTTTCTCCCGCATCTCACATGATTCCTTCTTCTGCAGCAGGAGATGTGAAGTAGATATTCTGGCTGCGCATAAAAATGTAAACATGTGTCCCCACAGCTGAGAAATTGTCCTTTGAGGTTAGCTATATATGCTTTGTTCATCTTGGTCCACGAGGGGGGTGGGCGGGCTGAAACCTGAGATAAAACGAGTGCAGCAGGCTCATGCTAATGAATCTTGAGAAAAATAATTCTTAACAATAAAAGCAAAGAGAACAGTGCAACGATTTATTACAGGTGTTTTTCGTAAGGCGGCAGCTCCAACTTTGCTATTTATTCAGGAGACCGCATTGTGATATTTTACTGCTTTGTTTGCATCTCTTATAATATTTCATAGCTTGGCATTCGTTTCTGCTGCTGTGGTCCTTTATGAGGCCTGAGCTGGTCTTTGTTAAGAGTGGGTGAGAATTGTTGCAGAATTTCTTGCCCTACACAGCAGAAGTGTAGAGACTCGGAGAAAATAGCTACAAGTTTCCCATATACAGTGGTGCCTCGCTTAACGATTACCTCATTAAATGACGAATGCGCTTGACGATGAGGTTTTTGTGATTGCTTTTGCGATTGCAAAATGATATTTAAATGGGCAAAATTCGCTTCCCGACAATCGGTTCCCTGCTTTGAGAACCGATTCTTCGCATTATGACAATCAGAACAGCTGGTTGTTGAGGTTTCAAAATGGCCGCCTGCTGTGTAAAATAGTTCTCCACTGTGCTTTAGGATGGATTTTTCGCTGCACAGGCATCGGAAAATGGCCACCCTATGGAGGATCTTCGCTGGACGCTGAGGTATTTAGCCCATTGGAACTCACTGAGCGGTTTTCAATGCATTTCAATGGGCTTTTTTATTTTGCTTGACGAGGATTTTGCTCTACAGCGATTTCGCTGGAACGGATTATCCTCGTCAAGCGAGGCACCACTGTAGTCCACTTCTTTCTTATTAACTGCTACTTAAAGTCTCAATAGCTCAGCCTGAGACATTTATAGGATAAAGAATAAATTGTTCAATTACTTACAGTTGTGGACGGATCAACAGGAAACAAGCAACTGACACCACCTCAGGAAAGAGAGGGAAAGAGAACATAGAGCAGAGAGGTGGGGCTGTCTTTGAATGCAGAGGCAGGAAGGAACAATTGGTTAGTGCTGGGAAGATTGACAGCCCACAAAGGTCCCTCCCAGCCACAACCCCAACAAGAATTGTGGTTCAGTTTGGTTCCAATCAGAGTTTGAATATGCCTTGACATCTGGGGTGGGTGAAACTAGTGTGATGGGATCTGAATGTTGGAGAAACAATGGATCCATCCAGGCTCAAACCCTTGAGTGCTCAGTGCTGAAAGGTTTGAACCCAGTATGGTGTCCTGGATAGGATGATGGATTAGGATCTGGGAGACCTGGGTTCAAATCCCCACTTAGCCACGTTGAGTCATTTACAGTATAGAACTGGTAAAAGCACTCCGGAAATATCTCATTGACCTTGAAAGCCCTACTAGGGTCATTATAAGTCCCTTCCAACTTGACAGAGCGTAACGCACAACATTCAGCCACATTAGCAGTGAATTGGGTTTAATTTCTCTCTCGGTCATTCACTTTTTAAGAGCTGCTCATCTTGAATAGCTCTATGGCAGGCAGATGGTTCTCTCCTGACCAGAAATAGCTGCGCCTCTAGCATTGGCTGGAAGTGGAGAATAAAGTAATTTTGACTTATTTTAAAAGACCATTTTAAAAAAACAAAACAAAAACAGTGCAGGAGAAAACAGACCTGGCCGATCTTCCATCCCGTTTTGATTTCCAACAGAGGATGTGTTAAAACATCCCATTTTTAATGTATGCGGATATATAAATTAAGGCACTGTGTGTCATTTCGCCCATTATGGGTCTTCGTATCTGTTTTGTGCTATGGATGACATATTCTGTCCTGGCCAGGCTCCCCTGTCGTGACCCTATAAGGTATCTTTTAATCCCAAGAACTCTCTTGAATGTTATATGAGCGGACAGACATTTTCAGGCTGAACGTTCACAGCAGCGATGAATGCTCAGAGGTCAAGGTTTCCCATCTGTTGAGGTCTATTCCTAAGGCCTTCAGATCCCGCTTGCAGATCTCCTTGTATCGCAGCTGTGGTCTCCAAACCTAAACCACAGAGTTATTCAGCCAACTAACTTCTCTTCCCCTGTTGCCAGCGAAGTTGGACACCCACCACTTTGGAAGGTGCTTTGACCCACTTTCCTGACAGCCTTGGAACAGATGAATTTGGTTTTTAAGGGTGAGCCTGTATCTATTTCCACCATCAGCCAGTTGTTCCAGGTTTGGCTATCTCCTGCACACTTTGTTTCCCCAAAAGGGCAGAACCATAGCTGAACACAGAGCCAGGACATGGAAAGTGTGGACCTTTATGAGGATTTCAGAAGGGTGTGTGATGTTAAATCAGGACATTTTCAGGCTGAATGATCGCAGCAGCGAAGAAAGCCGAGTCTTGAGCAGGGCTGAAAAAGGGTCAAGAAGGGGGGCTTTTTTTAGCATCACTGGGGGGTGCTCCAGGTGGTCCCCGAGTTTTCCTTCTGAAGTACTTGGACGGAGGGGGTGAGTGCAGATAACTGAAACTTTCCAGGAAGTAGGATCTCATCTCCTGCGTCGTATCTTGAGCTTCCTCTGTGCTTCGTGGTGAGACTGAGGTCTCTTTCCGTCTCTTTCAGTGAAGTAAGACTTGGCAGCTTGTACACCTACTGGGTTTCTGTCCTGTCCGGGGCGGAAGAGAGCGAATCTTCCCCTCCACTTGCCTACATCCACGGGAGCGGCTACTGTGGCGACGGGATTATCCAGAAGTAAGTAGAACTGCTATTTTCTGCATCACTCGTAGAGCTGCTTCTCTGGCTTCCGTTTAAGGCAACCTGCCATTAGAAGAATGAGTGCTGAGAATGGGTGCCTGTCACAGCAGGCAGTTTTCTCCACCCCCTAGGCTGCTTGGGGTCCTGGGGGTAGCTTAAAGCCATACATTTCTCCAGTCCTGCTGATGAGGTATCTAAACTAAGGAAAGCCAGTCTGTGGCCCTAACCCCATGTTGGCCAAACCTCGCCCACACTGGCGCTGGGGCAAAACCTGAGCATCTGGGTGACCAGGACGAGGGTTGGACACCCACAGAGAGAGACGGCAGCTTGCATAGACTCCCCCCCCGTTTCTTTCTGGGCAACCATGAGGTCTGTTGGGTTAAAAGCATGTGTGTTTCGAAGGACCAATGACATCCACATTGTGTATATGTGGGTATTTGTGTGTGCAAGTTTACATAGTGTCATAAATGCCATATACATTTTACTTACGAATTTTCACTGCATACTGAAATAGTCTCCTCCTTGCAGTCTCCTCCACATTCTCTCTTTCTCTCTCCACTCATTCTTTCATCCATCTGTTCATCCTCTTTTTCTTTAATCTAATCTAATCTAATCTAATCTAATCTAATCTAATCTAATCTAATCTAATCTAATCTAATCTAATCTAATCTAATCTAATCTAATCTAATCTAATCTAATCTAATCTAATCTAATCTAATCTAATCTAATCTAATCTAATCTAATCTAATCTAATCTAATCTAATCTAATCTAATCTAATCTAATCTAATCTAATCTAATCTAATCTAATCTAATCTAATCTAATCTAATCTAATCTAATCTAATCTAATCTAATCTAATCTAATCTAATCTAATCTAATCTAATCTAATCTAATCTAATCTAATCTAATCTAATCTATCTAATCTAATCTAATCTATCTATTCACTTATTCTTTCATCTGTTTGTTCATCCTCTCATTCTTTAATCCATTCACTAACTTACTTACTTACTCACTCACTTATCCACCCATCCACCCATCCATCCATCCATCCATCCATCCATCCATCCATCCATCCATCCATCCATCCATCCATCCATCCATCCATCCATCCATCCATCCATCCATCTATCCATCCATACATGCATACATACATGCATACATACCCTGCTTTATATCATAGGATCTCAATCATCCTCTCATTCTTTAATCCATTCACTAGCTTACTTACTCACTCACTTATCCATCCACCCACCAACCCACCCATCCATACATCCATACATCAATACCCTGCTTTATATCATAGGATCTCAGTGTGCAAATTAAAATATAAAATCATGTAAAACAAAACTGAATTCAACAACACAAACTCAAAAGACTCAAACATTTCCCATGGTTGATCTTTATCCTTGGTCTGTTAAAAAAAAAAGGCGGAATGGGGGCGATGGGTGGAAGAAGGAACAGGAGCAGTCCTCATCCCCTCTGAACCCTTCCCCTCCCTGCAGCCCTTCCGACCCTTTCTTGCATTTAATGCTTCCCAACCTCTCTCTGCCCTTCTGTGTTGGTGTCTGGCTCACAGAGACCTCGGGGAGGAGTGCGATGACATGAACAAGGTCAACGGAGACGGGTGTTCTCTCTTCTGCCGGCAGGAGTTGTCTTTCAAATGCATAGGTGAGTGGCGTGGGCTTTTTCGGCGTGGCTCTGCTGTTGGTCCTCTTGTCCAGACAAATACATACAGCCATGTACAAACACAGGCACATGGATGCACCCACATTTGGGGGGGGGCTTAGCAACTGTGTGCACCTGCCCCCTGCAGCCGTGGTAGCCAGGTTTCCACTTTTACTGCTCAAATAATCCCCAGGGAAAAGGTTTTTTGTTTGTTTGTTTGTTTTTTGGATGGGGAAGAAAAGATTCATTTGAAATGTCGTGCTGGAAGAGAGCTTTGCAGATACCCTGGATTGCCCAAAAGATGAATAAGGGGGTCCTAGATCAATCAAACCCAGCCTAAACTTTCTCTGGAAGTCAAAAAGTTGAAACAGAGGCTGGCACCTGATGAAAAGATAGGATTCTCTGGAAAAGACCCTCCTGCTGGGAAAGGCAGAAGGCAGCAGGAAAAGAGGAAGACCCAATACGAGGTGGACCGACTCACTCAAGGAGGCCACTGGCTTGAGTCTTCAAGAGATGAGGAGGGCTGTGGAGGGCAGGACTTGCTGGAGAGGGCTCCAGCCAGCACATAAGAACAACCACCACTGGAAGGGGCCGTCAAGACCAGGAGAGAGGGAGAGAGAAATGAACCCCAGGGGATTGAGATAAAGGGGGCCGTGAGGTGATAGCAAACCAGGTAGCAAGACACGCACAGCTCTCTTCATCATCCTCTTCTCCACTCAGAGGAGAGGCTGTACAGTGGTGCCTCGCTAGACGATGATAATCCGTTCCACTGAAATCGCTGTTTAGCGAAATTGTCATCTAGCGAAAATCGGTTTGTGAAGCAGGGACCAAACATTGTCCAGCGAAATTCCCCCATCGGAATCACTGTTTTGCGAATCGCTGTAGCAATCGCAAAAAGCCAATGTCTAGCAAAAAACCTGTCATGCGGGGTAACTGTCTAGCGAGGCACCGCAGTATTTCCGTTTAAATCTCCGTGACCAGAACAGGGTGGACAAATAATCAAATCTTGCTTCCATTCACAAAAGTTCGCGGACGTCACGTTGCAAGAGTCGGTTCCCTGTTTGGTCCTCTCCGTATCTCAGTGGCCTGTGCGTGGCCGCACTCTCCCAGATATGGAGCGTGGCCTTTCTCGGTGTCGGCCTTCCCGACAGATTATTTCCCCCCCCCCTTGGGTCAGGACAGGAGAGGTTGAGAAATATCTCTTTGCTCCTGGGCTCCTGGTCTTTGTCACTCCCCAAAACAGGACCTGCTTTGAAGGCCCCTGCCATCATCCTTCCAAGAGAGCTTGAAAAGCCTTTCCCAAGCAGCAGAAGAAAAGGGCCAAGATGGTCCACCCCCCTCCCCCCAATGAAGGAGGTGACACCTCCTTTGAGATGCTAATTAGAGCCCTGGAAAGGGGGTGGACAGGATCAAAGATACTTTATCCCTCCTTTTCAGAGGCGGTAATTGCTTAACTAGATCCCCTTTCTAAGCCTCCGCTCTGCTTTGATTAGCAAAGGGCTGTCCAGCACAATGGCCGGACCAAGGCGGGATGCTCTCAAAAGGCTCCCTCCGGTTTGTAGCCGCGCAAAGATTTAGTCGTTGATTATACGCTTCAGCACCCCATGTACGTGTGTGTGTGTGTGTGTGTGAGAGAGAGAGAGAGAGAGATATTTTGATTTTGATTTCTAGAGCAAAGAAATCCATGCAAAGGATGGAGCAGACATCCCTCCATCAACAAGCTCATCCTTGTTAAGTAGAACATGGAACATGCAGGCGTTCGGTGGGATTTTAGTCGGCCCTAATAAGGGATATTGTTTGCCCCCTGATTGATTTATTTTCTTGGGGGGGGGGAGTTGGTTTATTTCACTGCTGCTACTGCCAAGAGGTCTCTGGCTGTGGGGCCAGAGGTTGAGAGTTCAGTTCCCCCCACTGGGCCTCCTGGGAGAATTGCCAGCCTGGGTGGCCTTGGGCCAGCTGCAGAGGGAACACATTTCTGAGGACCCGGTACCTAAGAAATCCTGGAAAGGATCGCCACAATTTATTTATTTATTATGCTTCTATTCCACCCATTTAGTGGCAAACCACTACTCTTGACTTGATGGCATGTGATGATGATGAGTTATTGTCGATACGATTGTTGTGATTATCGCCGTTGTTCCAATTCCCTGTTATCTTTGCAAAACCAATGGCCTGTGGCTTCGTTTTGGGTCCATCATGTTATTGCCCGGAGATGCCTCCATCTGTAAACGAGGTGGATCAAGGGTCTCCCCAGAGCTACGTGCTGGGGCGATACCATGATAGGTTTTGAATTCACTGCTGGAAACAGTAATCAGGTCTTCTCTCCTTTAACTAAAAACTCTAGCCAACCATGCAGAAGCAGCCTGGACAACCTGCACTGGGTGGGTGGGTGGATGGATGGATGGATAGATGAAAAAGTGATTGAGTGAGGGAATGGATTAAAGAATGAGAGGATGAACAAATGGAAGAATAAGTGGATGGAGGGAGGGAGGGACAGACGGACGGACGGACAGATGGATGCAGGGGGAGAGAGAGGGAGGGATAGCTAGAAAGATGAAAAAGTAAGTGAGTGAGGGAATGAATTAAAGAATGAGAGGATGAACAAATGGATGAAAGAATAAGTGGATGGATGGACGGACGGACGGACGGACGGACGGACGGACGGACGGACGGACGGACGGACGGACGGACGGACGGACGGACGGACGGACGGACGGACGGACGGACGGACGGACGGACGGACGGACGGACGGACGGACGGACGGACGGACGGACGGACGGACGGACGGACGGACGGACGGACGGATGAAAGAATAAGTGGATGGATGGACGGACGGACGGACGGACGGACGGACGGACGGACGGACGGACGGATGGATGAAGTGTGTTGTGTTGGTATGTCGGCTGGCTCTTGGGGCCAGACTGGAGAGAACCTCCAGGAGGTTTGTCTCTCTGCAGGCTTCTCGCCTTCGCTCTGTTTGCCTGGGACTCAGTTTGCCGCCTGGTCTGTTTTCGGCTGGTTTGCTTCCCCAGCCCACATCCCTTGATCCTCCTTCAGATAAGGCCTGGATCAATCTACTTAGGGCATCCGAAGGAAGGAGGATCTGTGTGGTCTTTTCTGTCAGGGTGTCCACACATGCACACACAATTTCTGTCAGGGTGTACACACACACACACACACACACACACACACACACACACATATACACACACACACACAGAGAGAGAGAGAGAGAGATATGTTAGAAAAGAAGACAGATAAGATTAATGGTGTTTTCTTTCTCGGCGGAGCGTCTGACGCTCTTAGTGTGCTCCATTTGGGGGGTGAATAAATTGATTTCCTGCAGGATCTGGCAGCCCTGCCTTCACACAGTCTGACATAACACCTTCCCCGTCGCCTCAGATGCCCTGTGCGCCATACAGGATTTGACTCTCCTTGAACACAACTTTTCTCCTTCGGGGGAGAGATGGGCCTTGTTTGTATATAGAGCTGCTTTGCTGTTTTGTCCCCCATATATTCTACTTTTTCCTCCTCCACCAACAGTGGAAGACTTGGGACTTGATTCTGTAGGCAATAATTGAGCAGCGGAAACATTTATTTATTCATTCGTTGCAAAATAACAGCCAGCTGGCGATGGCCTCTGGGCAGTTTATGGAAGGTGCCTCTGTTCCATATTCTGCATGACAAGATCTTTGAAACACCCACCCCTCCTGACTAACCCCTTTTCCCTTCTCCAAACAGGACTATATTTTCCATCTATTCTTCATAGATTTTAGCTTCCAGACCCGTGTTTCCATCCTAATCACCCTCCAAACTTTTTAAAGATATGGTATTCAGAACTGGACACAGTATTCTAAAGAAGGTGCACCAGTAGCAAAGAGAGGGGGACTGTTATAGCAAAAAAAAAGGGAAATAGTTGGCTTCCCAAGATGTTTGAACTACAACTCCCATGATCCTTTACTATGGGCTATGCTAAAAGAGGGTGATGGAAACTGTCCCAAATACCCAGACTTCCAAGCTTCTGTAGTCTCATAATACAGCGGTGCCTCGCTTAACGACAATAATCTGTTCCAGGAAAATCGCCGTTAAGCGAAAACATCGTAAAATGAAATTAAAAACCCCATTGAAACCCATTCAGTGCATTCCAATGGGGTAAAAACTCACCGTCCAGTGAAGATCCTCCATATGGCGGCCATTTTCACTGCCTGTATAGCGAGGAATCCGTCCCTAAATACAGTGGGGAGCCATTTTAAGCACCCGGTGGCCATTGTGGAACCGCTGATCAACTGTTAAAAAGCATTGTTTTGCGAAGAATCGGTTCCCGAAGCAGGGAACAGATCATCGCAAAGCGAAAAAACCCTATTTAGACCATCGTTTTGCGATTGCAGTTGTGGTCGCAAAAAGATAGTCGTACAGTGATTTCATCATAATGTGGGGCAATAGTTAAGCGAGGCACCACTGTACAGGAACTCAGCGTCCTTGTTGTCATTATGTGCCATCAAGTAACCTCCAACATACGGCAACCCTACCTATGAGCAACCAGCAATATATCCTGCTCTCACTTGCTCTGCTCTTGTATAGTCATGCTTGTGGCTTCCTTTAGGAAGTCCGTCCTTGTCATATTCGATCAGACTTTACTCTTCCCTAACAGTGGGTTGAGTGCTTTCTGACCTGGAAGTCTCATCTTCCAGCTCTATCTCTTTTTTCATTTTTGACTGTGTGACGATACGGTTTTTGTGATAAGGAAAGTTCGTCAGGGGGTTACCAGGCACTATAACATAAGATACGCTGTGTGGTGATGGAAGTCACAATATATCAGTGTCCATAGGGCGTCCTGTTCCTCCAGTACCAGTTTTGGATACGGGAAACCAAACCAGCACCTCATGAATGATGGGATCAGGGAAAACCGATTGGCTGAGCTGTGGCAGCGAAAAATAACCACGGTTGTGCACATTGAAGACTAGAGTTTTATTTTGGACCGACAGAGCTGCTGCCCTTCTGG